TTCTCCTCCTTGTTGGAACTTTTGTGAAAGTATTGGGTCGGTCTACAAATAATAACGATTTTCCCTTTCATAAATTTTTGTGTGGAGAGTGGCAAGTTTACCGAAAAGATCAGTGCTGTTCATTGAATAGCAATTCCCTGCTCCACAGAACAGTGCTCTCAGTGTTTTTTCAAACTTTTGATTTTTTCTAAATTTTACAGTAAAGCACCTTCTTGTTTTTTGCATTCCATCTTTTTGCACTGAGCGTAGGTCCAGAATCTGCAGAAACAGCTCAAAACCAGGGGAGATGTATGGGCAGAGAAATATCTTTGGAGCTGCTTGAAGTTCACAGATGGGAATTCGGACCTTGTGAATGTGCGCTGCCCCAGAAACTCCTCCAGGGAGCGACTGTCTGCGAGCTCACGCACAAATTTTTTGTACATCTCCCATCAAGCAAAGGTGATGCTCAATGAGAGTGTGCGAACATCTCATGACCTCCACAAATTCCCCCTTTTTCGGCAAGGCTTTCCGTGTGTAGGCTGACTAAGTAAGTCCACAGTCGAACTAGGCATCCAGTGCGACGCTCGTCTGTGGGGTCAAAACTGAAATCTTGGATCGTTCAGACCGTTTAAACCGTTCTATGCCTTCTTGGGTGGCATCGCTTCCTGACATATACTTCACGAAAGGCCTCGGTGGTTTCAGCTTTTCCGGTTGAATGTAAATATCAAAAGTTGTCGGAAATGCTCAATTTCGTCAACCTTACACTCCAGTTAGATCATTTGAAAATCAATGGAAACGGGATCCTGTAGTTATAAAATCGTGAATCTCTGAGGAAACAGGCAGTCATCCCCACAGAGCGGCCAATCCCCTCAAAACGTCAACAACGCATGGAAAAGCATCCCATCTTTCATCGAAAATTTCAAAAATTCAGTAAGATAAAAAATTAAAAAGTTTCACTTAGATGAGAACACCATTACTTATGCACCAACCCAGTAGTTTATGCGTAGTTCCATTCAGAGCTTTCTGTGATGGGCTTAGCGGTGAAACATCTCAAGGGATGAGGTAATTGGAACGGCGTTGATGTTCTGTGTGATGAACGCGCGGAAGTAGACCTGATAGAGCTAGTCTTCAGCTGTTGACATTTCCCGTCTCACGAGCGCTCAATACCTTCACCCTTGAACGGCAGCTTTTGGGGAAAAAACTGAAGAATTTCGGTAAAACAACTCCGGAAACTCTGGAAAAGTGGTAGGAAATCGAAAAGTATAGGGAGATGAGTATTCAGGATAGAGGATGGGGAAATGAGGTCGTACCAGAGCCGAGGCTTTCGGATGGGTCGTACGCTGCAACACTTTTCCCCAGTGACAGAGGGAGGATGCCTTGTTCCGTACTCTTTGGGATGACTGTCAGGGTTTCTGCTTCCAAGCAGGTTTCAGAAGGCAAAATTTAGTTGTTTTTGTATGGTACCTACTGTTTATCTCCGCAGTTTGCTCTTTGAAAATTATCCCAAGGATGCCGAGTTATGGGGAAAGTTTTAGACTAGTCAATACTTCAAGGCGCGGCTCCCGCAAGGGTAACTAAACCACATCAGCGAGGCAGGGCAACGTTCACTCGGGAGCAGCACAACAAGCGGAGGCAGGGTACCAGTCACTTGGAGGTAGTACAGCAGACGGAGGCAGGATCGCTGAGAAATGCGCTAAATACCGAAATATCCGAAGGAAGGAATAAAAATAAGAAATTCTTGCGGAAGCTTTTGGATTCTTCTGGATCTTTGGAGTTTTTGCGATAGATTTTGGTGCCTCTTTTGCATTGTTTTTACATTGAAGAGAGTTTAATGTTCAATGGCTATCATTTACCTATTAATGTCCATTGGTAAATAAGAAAAGCGCTCCATCAGACCTGACAGTTGTCTGAATCCTTCCTCATTTTTCTTTCTTACTTGATTAGCAACCTCTTCAATGAACACTAGGAACCGTCTGCGATGGTGAAACAGTGTGTTTGTTGAAAATCAATCAATCAAATCAAAAATCGAAAATGCTTCTTCATTTCTGATTCGAAAACATTTTACTTCATCAATGGTCAAAGTTTGCATTTTACAGGTGTGTTGTCGTAAATTTGAGCAGTGTTTTTCGCCGCATGTTACCTGTTGCAATCAAAAGTATGTCAAGAAAGACAAGGTGAGCTTCCAGGCTCTGAATAAGATGTGATTCATTGTAAATAGAGTATATATGCTCTTGAACAGAATCGTTATCATTTATCAGTACGGTGTTATCTATGCATTTCGCCATTTCGCCTGACATCTTCTAGGCGAGCTGCGGGTGTCAAGCAGCTCTCGGTGAAGCCTGTCGCAGTGTCTGTACAGAAGTAGGCCGAACAAAAGTGGCCAGTGTGTTCCTGAATACTGCGGCGGCGGCTCTCATGCTGGCTTGGCCATTCGAAGTACGGTTTTGCGGTGTTTCTCAAAGCCTTTCACTCAGTGGATAGTCTCTTTATCCCAAATTGAACCACACATAATTTCTAAGGGAATGCTATTTGATCATTCATAAATTCGGAGACAATCATCAGTCTTACTAGAAAATTTTTTTGCCTTTAAATTCGCACTGTTTTGATTTTTTTCAAGTGTTTTCAGGAAGGCTATTCAGAACGTAGTGATCGATTAGCTAAGCTGGCGAAGGAGGAAGTAGGCAAGTTCTCACCGGACACACGAAATGAAATCTGTAAGTATTAAAAAGGGAGGGCATTCTCCCTTTCCTCTCCCTCCTATCTGACACTTGCCCTTTATTTTTTCCGTAGGGCATATGCACAGAACTGGTCTCTGAAAGCTGCTATTCTCAAACCGATTCCATGGAATTTCATGGTTTCAGGCCTCTTATCTACACAGCTGTGCTCACTCATCAAATGCTCCAAACCGCCTCCGATGCTGTGGTGCACCAACGAATCCAAACAATCCGAGTGTTGTCCGCTTGCGTCGAGTTGTAGTTGCAAGTGTGATATCAAATTACAGTAGTGGACGCTACTCTAATAAAAAATGTTTATAATCGGAGTTCTTCCATGTAATCACGTTGAGATCTTGAAAGACAGCGCCCGTGATCAGCTTGAAAGGCTCAGAATTGTTAGAACATGTGGTAGATGAAGTAATGGTCAAGAAAAAAAGTAAAACAAAAAGAAAGTGTTGCAAGAACACAGAGTGAGGCCACATCCGACTGATCGCATTTGTACGAGTTTTGCAGATTTTGGCCGGGTTCCCCGGAGTGCATCAACGCCTCGTGGCGGCTAGTTCTCGTGATGCCATTACCTACAGTCTA